TGCTCGGTCCTCGTCATTTCTCCATCCATGCTCCATTTCTGTGGGCGTAGCGCCCAATCTGAGCCACCCACAGTCCAGTGCCTGCCAGTACTTGTCCTTCAGCTGTATTTGCCCATCGTGCTATTAGAGTTTCCTTCCGGATATATGAGGTGAGTCAGGAAAGCTTCATGTAGATGAACTTCTTGTCGATAGTCCACATGGCGGTACTGCTTGATCACCTTCTTGGCCTGTGAGACGTTGACCAGTTCCTGAATTTGCGCCACAGCGGTGTGAGGGTGTCCAGCGTGGTGATGTTTACCACTTCATTGTCCCCCAAGGCTGCCATGGCTGCCGCCGTAGTTTTGTTCCAAAGCCTAGGGCCTTGTAGGAAGCTTCCCACCCAAGCCCCACAACCGGAAAGGCCCGTTGGCAAAGCACTTTTTTCGGTCATTGCCTAATCTGCATTGAAGGTTTTGCACCACATAGTCCAGGCTTGCCTGCACTTGTAGTTCTTCACATTCCTCTGTCTGCTGGCATTCTCTCCAAGCTTGGCAGCAAATTCTTTGGCCTGCTCAGCGGATGCGTGCAGTCCTGTGCTGGCCATGACAGTCAGCAGGTTTCTGCTGAGATTCGTCTTGCATGTTTCTTCATCCTGCGTCTGCTTGTCCTTCTCGAGCTGCTGGTTGTAGAGGTGGGTGGTTTCTTGCAGCTCCTTTTGTGCTGTCTTTATCTTGGCCTGGACGTCTTTCAGATCCTGCAAGAGCTGGGTGTACTGCTGCTTGATGTTGTCCGCCTTGACCTGGATCGCCGCCTTTTTCTCGGACAGTGCTTGAGAGTTCCAACCGCCTGCTTCAGCTTCTGGTTGAGAGGTGGTTCACTCTTAGTCGGTTCCACTATCTGCTTAAGTGCTTCCTTGAGGTCGGATGGCAAGCTCTGCAGATGCTCCTTGATCAAGGTGGGCAGATCCGGTGGCGGAGCTGGTTCTGCTGCCTTGACTCCCATGGCCTCGAGCTGAGTGCGCAAGGTCTCTGGGATTGTCGTCCAATGCTCTTGCAGCTTCTTCTCAATTCCTTGCGCCTTGGCCTTGTTTCTCTTAGGTGGTTTCCCACCGTGTAGTCCTGGTGGTGGTGATACCAAGGCTTCCTTGTAAGTCTTCTTGGGCCATTTCTCACCTTGGGATGCAAAGTTCCAAGCCGCCCATTCTACTCTTCGTCGGCGTAGATCTGGAAGGGCTCGAGGTTTCCATTGCCGTCCACATTGGTTGCATGCCATGTGTGGATGCTGCAAAAGCGTCTCTTCCCAGATCCAACTCTGTTTGCATCCTTGGCACACTAGATAGTGCTTCCTCATCGTGGTTTCCTCGAGGCACCTGTCGTTGCCACTAGGTGCCGGGCCAGGCGGGATGAGTCCTTGGTGCCTCCAGCCGAAACCTTGAGCCTGGATACAAAAATACATATTTTTAAATGTATATACATATATATAGCAGGCAATCTATGCTGTCTTCCAAAACAAATGGTCCAGGTCATATTTCTTTGAAGTACGAGGGTTTCGCCTTAGTCTTCTGGATGTGGATCAAGCTATTTAAACAATCCTTTACACTGAGTCCTCCAGGACTCCCTCACTTCCAGAACAAGATAAAAATGGAAATGAAAAGTGCAAAATAATGGCTTGAGGACCAATCTACCAGCGTTCTATATACCTTGATCTTGCATCATCTTACAGCGTGAGAACCAAGTCCCACACATGAACCTCCAGTCCAGAGCTCCTGCATGCTCCTGCCTCGTGTACCAAATGTTGCCTCGAATTTGGTGTCAATGGGTGGGGCGCATTGATCGTACTGGCCGTTTGTACCTGAGTGGAGAAGTGAAGAATCCATCTGCCAGAAGCCATGCTTTGCAATATTACAGCGGACGCATGATTGCTTCTAAGTTAGACTACTATGGAGAGCTAAACTAACCAAACACTCGGAGAATAACTAAACTAGACTAAAGCCCATTGGCTGGCGGGTTCGATAGAAAACAAACCAACGTGCCTTTCTGGCCAGCTAGAGGTGTTGAGTACCAAGGTACTGCAGCCTTCGCCGGGACCACCGCTACTTCCCAACAAGCAGTTCAGGCCGTCCTCATCGCACAGCATCTTTGGCCAGTACCGTGTACCTGCGACATTCAGTGAAGAAAAGTGGGTATAGCGAAGCCCTGGAGGGGCCCACTTCACACAATGCAGGAAAGGAATATATACCAAGATCCAAACCCACTCTAATATGTACAGATAATATACTGTACATCTATGAATATCTATGACATCTATGATACAATATGTTATTTGATTATAAAAGAAAGTTCCAGTCAACAAATTCAGAGAATCTTGGTGCGCCATCTACTGCTCCGTGGAGGAATGTCATGCATGGCTACGAGGGTCTTGCTGACGTTGTGTCTGCTTCTGAAACCACCAGCCCAATGAAGTGATTCCTTCAAGCCAAGTACACCCCCTGACATCCCATCCAATATCGTGCAAGTGCTCAGGAGGAGTACAAAGCAACAAGAACTTCGCAATCACAGGATGTTTAAAAGCCGCATGCGATCAACAGAAACAAAACTAAGAGCGTATTTGGCGCCTGTCAGCTTGTCTGGTGTGCAAAAGTCATGGAAGGAGTCGGGCGGAATCAGCAAATTCCTCAGGTGACCATGGTCAGCTTTTGGAAGGTAAAGGCCGCTTCGGCAAAGCCTGCATACAAGGCTCTGTATGCCTGGGCCCATTTCACCACGAGCAGCCTGCCCAGTCATATATTGGAAACCTTCTTGTGAGTTGCCTTTCAAACATTGATATTGGATTGTATTGGATTCTTAGATCTGCACAGCATGTCCACCTCGTGCGCGATCCAAATTGGCTCGTTCTCACAGCGGTTCACAATCCTCAGCCTGCGAGCAGTCATCAGGGTTGACTTTGTGGCTGATTCCAAAAAGATAGAAATTAAAAAGAATAGAAACACATCATCCGTGTGTGACCGAGTCCGGCATCGTGGTGCCTGCAAGGACCTTCAAACAATGAGGTCTTCCAGGCCCTCAAGCGCAAGCCCGATCGGGCTGGCATAAAACCGCTGGATTGACTCCTCTCCGGCCTCCTCACCGTGCAAGGTGTGGTGGTTTGGGTCCTCGAGTCGTGCAAGGTTTGATCTCAGACTCCGTCTTACCCAGGTACCCTCCAAGGTGTTTACAAACACCCTTGTGCGTACAATAAGCCCCCTCAATGGCATCTACAGTCACTTGTGGCTGCGAGTCAGACCTTTCACTGATGGAAAATGGCCAGAACAAAGACAGCCTTCCCAGGAACGAAGTTCAGCCAATCTAGCTGATCGCCAGACACTACCGAGCTTGATTTTCACCCTTCTCTTCTTTCACGACAAAAACGATATGTAACCGATATGTCTGCCATCAATCAAGGACTGGCTTTCGATGTTCGAAGGCAAGCTGCGTCGTCGGGGTGGTCGGCTTCCTCGGACGCGGATCCGTCGCGGTCGCACAGCGGTCGCAGGTCGCGGCTCCCGCACATCGGAGTGCGATTGGTCCAGCTGAACGGGCGGGAGGACGAACCAATTTTTGAAACGCCGGGGATTGGAACCCAGATGTATTTTGTTTGGGGGGGGCGGCGCAATTGGGAGCTTCAAGCTTCTGCCATTCCAGTCCCATACGACCACCTAATTTCATCCGATGTTCAGTCCCACAAATGTACGGTGGTTGTTCACTAGGACCAGACCACAAGGCCACGCTCTGAAAACTACAGCCAGGGGTCTCAAAGAAGCTGCAGTAGCCGTCATAAAAGCCTGCCTGCACACACCCCAACCCTTCACAGCTCCACGCGGAGGTCTACACGATTCTTTGTCTGCATTTTGTCTTTTGATCAACTCACAAACATCTGCATGAAACATCAAACCAGCAGAAACCCCGATTCCTCTCCTCTGTTGGCAATTGCATGCTTTCGCAATTCACGCCAGAGGCAATGCCATCGGGCATGCATGCCCAGGTCACGTCCTCACGGGAACCTGGGCGTGAAAAAAGCGGAGGTCCGTCCAATCGTGAGGCGATCTGGATCGGGACATGGGAAGAAAACAGAGGACAGGTCGGACAGATGTCTGCTTGTTAATCGCTACGAACGGAGCGATCGGACGCTACGATCGGGGCTCCTGGCCTTCCTACGAACGGAGCGACGCGACGTTCGAGATGGCTCTCCTTGGGCGAACACTTCGCCCCGAGGCGACCGTGTTCGGACCGACCACCGCCGTGTTCGACGTTCTGCCGAAGAAGCTACGGCCCTCCCAGTTCAGATGGGTGGCTGTAGCAAGCTCCCTTCATGATGTTGGCCGGACATTTGCCGGGGTAGTGGTCCAGGTGAATGCACTGTAGCTGATCACGTTCATCGCCTCACATTGGTGGGACACGAATGACATGACAATGTGCTATATACTAACATAATATAGTTTGCTAAGATTTGTTCCCACCTGCAACCAAAAGCACCACCACTGGCACTAGTTGCCATCTCGCCATGGCATCGCGATAACAAGAAGACGAGGACAATCAGGGCAGCCTTCCACTAGAACTTGCAATTTGACTGGATTCAGTCTTTGCCTTTGCCTGCCTGGCATATTGAATACTGCAGTGATGCCCACTTTGAGAGTTCAAGCTTCAACCTTCCTAGAATGCGGCCGCCCTCTATTCATGAAAGCAATGTGAAGGACATGAATCCTGTCGCGATGCGGTGTTTCCGGCTGGCTTGTTTTGCTGCACTACCTTCATCCAACTACGTTGTGTCATGAGCCTGAAGTGGTGGCATAGCACAAATGCGGACGCACTCGAACAACCGTTGAACTGATGAGAGGCTCAACATTGTGGCTTTCTGCTCCCGCAAGATCAATTCATGTCTTTTGTTTAAGAAACAAAAAAACTTCTCCATGTCAATGTGGAGTTGGAGTTGGAGCAAGTCCAACTTCTGCTTATCCTCTCTTGACCAGCCCTCCCAAGTCCCACCTCTGTGACCGGCCAGGCGTCTGAGAATTCGCCCTGGAGACTCGGGGGCGAGGCGATTTCGCCGCTGAGAACGCTGGTGACGAAGACACCGGAGGAAAGACGTCTCCGTCAAGTAACAAACTGTTTCAAGGAGCTTGAGACATCTAAACCCCAGTGTTCATGATGGGTCGATTCTCCCAGTGAGCACTTGACAGCAGTTTGTACACTGAGACGCAAAGGTTGAAACAGCCTGGCCACTGGCCAATCCAGACACAGCGGCTGAATGACGAAAATGAGTGGAGACCATTGATTTTGGTGTCCAAGACCATTTCTCCACCAGCCCACGTGGAGGCTTTGCGGTGTGGAGGCTTTGCGGTCGCACCTGCCTCACTCTCACTTCCATCTTCCTGCATGCAGCTGTGGTTGGAGGCTACCCTGCTTGTCAAACAGCTCGCTTGCAAAAACATTCGCGGCCGCAGATCACCCCCAGTAATTATAGTTGGCTCAGGTGAAAGGCAGAGCACTTCTCAAAATAACTGTGTGATTTCCTCTGTGCTGGAAGTATGATCTGTGCCATGACACCTTCGAAAAACAGGCCATCAGTCTTGTAGTAATTCCTCTGATCAAACTATACACTGAGTTTCTCAGCGCCATCCTCCCGATGCGAAACACTCTGGTGTCTCATGGCGTTAGATACTCGAAAACTTCAATGCATGAGTTAAAAACAACATGCCACATCCAGCCAGAATTGGGAAGAAATCGCAGTACTGGCGCTACCGGTGCAGCGAACTTGGAATGAATCAATCAGGTCGTCTCAACCCGATCGGGCGAGTGAACCCGCACCTCCGGTTCCAGCTTCAGCTGCGCTTTCCCAGGTCCCAAGTAAATCAAGACCTCGATGTCGAAGGTGTTTGATTTGGAATATAAATCATAACAAAGGAGATGAATTGCCCCAGCTGGAGACCCATATATATATATATATTTATATAGGGATATTCAAGAACATAAGAGGACCGGGACACATTCGAGCATGACTGGGCCATCAGAACAGACACCATCAGAACAGAAGGACTGGGACGCCATCACAGCATGACACGACAGAACCATCAAAGCATGACTGGGACACCACCAGAGCATGACCCGGACACCATGACACTAGGACCGGTACACCATCAGAACAGGACCGGTACACCATCAGAGCATGACCGACATGACCAGGGCGCCATCAAAGCACGACCGGGACACCATCAAAACATGACCGCAACATGGGCCAGCGTCACAACAGGACCGGGACACATCTGTGGATGCTCTCCTCCTCCTTTGTGCCGCTGTTTCCTCCAACTTCTTCAAGTTGATGCCGGATTTCTTCATGCAGATTGTCCCAGTGGGCCTGTACCATGGTCTCAAAATTCTGATTGAAGATCTTCTTAGCCTTCTTGCCCTTCTTGGTGGCTACGGCGTAGTCAGTGACCCTGGTTTTTTTGGTTGTGATGTGCTTCGAAAGCTCCGACAGTGGACAGTTTGCTTGTTCTGGGATCCGCCCACGGCATACATTAACAAAACAGAAAACAAAACAAAGCAACAACAAACTGCTACGAAAAAAGCATTCCACCTGAAAACAGAAATTAAACACAGAACCTGCCTGAGGAGGATGAAAAAAGGACTTGGAGTCTTGTAAAATACACTATTTCAAGAACACCGCGTTTCGCACTCCAAAGATGAAATCGAAAACAATTTCAACAAAAACCATCCTTGGCAAAATCGCCAACAACATCTTCCAAAGCTTGTGAGCATGCGACATCATCTTCGAAAAACATCCAAACCAACATCATTAGCCCCCCACCCAACCCCAACCCCCCAATCCCTTCAACGGAAAATATCAAACCTCAACCCACATGCATACCTGCTAATGTCTTCCAAGCGGAAAAAGGCAACTCTGGGGTCGCAAGCAACGCCGTTGGCTTCTTGGTGTCACCCTGCAGTCCTTCGCAGGCTCAAGCAAGGCCAGTTGATAGGATTTCGTTGGCCACTGTTCACCTTGGTGAGAAAAGTTCCAGTCCGCCCACCTGGCTTCTTTTTCTTTTTGAGGTCCGGGACATGATGTTGCTGCCAAGCATGTCCGCAACTCAACCACTTCATATGCGCCTTCCCAACCAGCCGATCTGCCCAGATCCAACCTTGCTGACAATGTCGACAGACCAAGTATTGTTTCCTCAAAAGGCATGTTGAAGTCACAGTGGTGAATGAAGTGGACGTTTCAGATGTAGGCAAAGCCACCGATGTGAGAGTCCTTGAGAAAAGGATGCCTGTGTCAATGTCCCTCACGATAAAAACCGGGACACCATCACAACAAAACCCGGACACCATCAGAACAGGACCGGGACCCCATCCGCCCACCAGATCTGCCAGTGACCCGACGAGGCCCCCCCTTTTAGTTTTGCAAGACCCCATCGCATGGCTATTGGGGAAAAGGAAAGGTAATGGTTTATACAGTTTATACACCGCACTTAAAGCCCTACCCACTTCGTTTCATCTCGTGTGTCTCTTTTTTGGAATTTCCTTGCATGCTGCCGTTTTGTCTAACTTGCGAATCATGCCAATTCATGAGGGTGACCCGTGAGATACAGTAACTCCTTGAAACATACCGACAAAACTGGGTGCCCAAATCAATCGTGGGTACCGTATGCAATACCCAAGTTCACCAAACATGCGAAGAATTTAGACGAAGCATGTCGCGGAAAGCAAGTAGGTACTGTGAACACATACAAAGAGTGGCGGTCGGAAAAAAAGAATAACTGTACCCCGCGTGGTGAACAGCATGGATGTTCATCCCTGAATAAGAGGGCCACAAATGGTGGGCCATGGCAAAGCATCGTGAGCTTCTCATGCATACTCTCAAAAACCAACAAAGCGTGCTATACATTTATATGTGTATATATATAGTGTGTGTGTTGTGTATAGTATATATAGTGTATATGATATAGTATATATATACTATATATATATAGTAGTGTATATGTTGCGCATATATGTTATATATTGTGTGTATAATATTTACATATAATATATATATGCATCTATATGAGTGACAGCGAAAATCTGTTGTGTTGCAGGTCATCAGGATTTGGTGAGTGTATTGTCGTTTTTCATGTCCGTCATGTTCTTGTTTTTGGTGAGAGAGTTATCGTTCTTGGCGAAACATGCATTTTGAAATCCCATGACCACACACTGACCATTGGTCACGACTAGTGCCGAGCCTAGAATATCTTGACCAAAGACCTGCGTCTCTTCTTGAATACTGTTCAGTTGAGCACCTTTCTGCCGAGTCGTCCTAACAGGTACACCCATCATGTAACACTTAGAAGCGAAGAGTCAACGCAGTGAAACTTTTTGCACACATGTGGAGCTTGCATCTGATCTTGCACCTGTTTCTGACCTACATGTTTTAGCAGGGGGGCCTGGTCTCATCACTGGTCCAACGAACACACCAACCTTTTTTTGGAAACAAATCGCAAACTCTTAGGCCACCACCATGACTCGGTTGCACACAAAGTGGCCAAACCATTTGCAGCATTCGGCCTCGCAGGCAGCATCGGATCGGCTTTGGTGAGATCCATCTGCAAGTAGCACAGAAAGGCACTAATGAGCCATCTTCGGAAGACAGGAAAACTTATCGACATGACATCTCGAGTCGATTTGCTCAAACATTCCAACCTCAACCCTAGGTGTGCCAAACAAATGCTTCAAGACACTTGATGTTCGTTTTGGAACAGCACGCAAAGATGTGTTTTCCACTCTAGGTATTCAATTAACAAAGGCTAAGGTCCTGTGTGAGTTCTGCGTCCAGCAGCTTGGAAGACGCCTCGAGAGCTCTTCACGGGGGGGTGTTCGGATGGGGGTGCTCCAACCCCAGCAAAAGAATAGAATGACAAAACATATAATACATAATACATAATAGAGTCTTGGATTTTTGGTTTGGGGTTTTGGTTTTGGTGTCTACAAGAAGAAAACCAATAGACAAGCGATAGAGCAAACGCACATGGGAAGCATACGTCATTGCACAGATTATATATGTATAGGTATTTTATTTCAATAGTTTTTTTGCACAGTATCAATCTTCATCACCTGAGGTTAGCGTGGGGATTTGGGCCGGGTGATTTGCTGGGGGACAAGGTATCCTAAAAACGTTAAAACTATTTATTCATAGTAAAGGTCATATGTTCTATATATATATATAGATCACCCGAATACTGCAAAGACCAAAATATATATGCCCTCAGACAAATCAAGTCCTTGCTTTGAAATGTAGTACACACACATGAAAAAGGTAGATCAGTCTTTGAGGGCGAGGCCATATATATATGTATACACATCATTTATACACATCTGATCTTTGTTCATTAACTAATAGACATCACATTCCGAGCATTGAGCCATGCATTCCAAGCCTTGAGACCACGAAACTCCTGTTCCTTTTCACGATCATTGCACGGCTTTGGAACCCTGACATGATCCAAATGCAGTTCCTAGGTGTTCACCGGTCTTGAAAGCACTGCAGAAACTCACCCAAACGGTTGGTGAGCTTTTCAAATGCCAGACCGGACATTCATCGGATGGGTCACGTTGGAGTCTGGGAGCGATGTCATGGGTCACCGGATGTCACCGGTCCTGGATTCTGCGGGGTTCTGCGCGAGGGCAAAGAACTCTGAGCAAATGAGGCTTTTGAAGGGGTTCACGGGTTCACTCAACTTTTGGACAGCTCGGTCACCAAATCTCCCACACCCAGATCCCCTTGTTCCACCCAAATCAGTGAATCATAATCAATCTCAAAAATCGTTGCAGTGTCCAAATCCTTGACCTCCTTTTCTTGTCACCAGAAGCACGCTTTCAGATGTCTTGGCAATTAGCCAATGATTCTTCGACGGGACCGACACCTGATGTCTTAGACATGGTGTGCATGCTGCATGCATGCTACAGGTCATTCTGCACAATGCTCCAGTGATACATTAATGAGCTGATTGATTCCAAGGTTTCTCTGCATTTGCCTTGTAGCTGTGCTTCCTGCCAGGGCACAAACAGGGGGAATCAGTTCCCTCGTGGTTTGGGTATCTAGAAGTAGAGCCCGTCAAGCTTGAGCTTTCGGACAGTTGTTTCTAGAACCCGATCAAACATGGTGGCTTCGTCAACCAGGCACTTCCCTGAGAGTTGGGGGGAAGAAAAAATCGTGGTACACTGAATGTTCTCTTTGTGGTGCCCTCAAGTCAAGCGAGAGTGCTTGCGAACACGTGCTCCCATGTGCTCGTCCTTCTCCATGTGCTCCCGAAAATCTGAGAGCAAGTCCTCGCCAAGTGGCTTTCTCAACAAAACCGGACACCAAAGCACCGGACACCAAAGGTCAACATGGCGTCAACGGCCGACGAATGTTAAGCTTCAGATGAAACCGCTGCTCCTTGAATCTGTCTTCCAACTCACCATCCATGTCACTGCCTGTCTTCTTGCTGGAGTGCGTCTGAAGGGAAGAGAGCGAGCGATTTGTGGTGAATTTTGGGCGGTCAATCCGGTCGCCCTGAGACTTGACACTCTTCACGTGCTGGACGGACTCCGATGCCTTCAAAAAGCGTGAAAAGAACTCATTCAGCAAGAGAAAAGCAACACCATCCCATTCCAAACAAACAAGACATGCTGGGAACGAAATCAACAGTGAGTTTATGAAATATAGTTTCTTCCTTTCCTGGTTGACTCTTTTCTGGTTGGACATCAATGTCTTCTTCCAGTTGGCTCATGTTGTTCTATGATGAGGTTATTAGTCAGAACAATGGCTCTGGCATGACATCTCATACTACAACACGGCGTGGCAGCCAGAATCAGCTCAGGAAAGCATTCAAGAAACCCCACATGAAGCCAAATGATTGCTCTGCTATGAGAGGGAATGATAGAACAGCTCTGCAAGAAAACCTGAAACCTCGTGAAGACAGGCAGACCCAAAATATGAAGCGCAGGTGAAGGCTGAGCAGCTGATCAATAACAGGTGCAATTCGTCGTCTTTTTTCGGGATCTGTTTTCCAAATCCTTGGGGCTCACAGTTTGCTGCTATTTACGGCAGCCTGGGAAAAGGAACTGCGGACCAAGGCGGGTTGAGTGGCTGAGCTTGAAAGAGAAGCAGTTTCGGCAGCGGGGCTGACACTTAAGAGAAACAGATGTCGCGTCCTTAGCAGAGACACGTGTCGTAGCTGGCCAAATACATTGGCATAGTGCAGGCTTCATATTAATCGCTAGCTGATTAGACTAATTTGGGAACTGTCGTAGCTAGCAAAATACATTGGAATAGTGTAGGTGTCAGCGAAATTCCTACTTATGACAACAGTTGGTGCAGTTAGCAGAGAAGCAGCAAAGAGAAAGAGAACTAGCACAGGAGGCATATTTGGTTGGTTAGAAGTTTTTGCCCGGGCAGCTCACCTTAAAAGATTGATTTCGTGGCAGGCGCGGCTGTCGGAGATGAAGTGCAGATTTCGTGGCACGGGGGGGGGTGAGCAGCACACCAGATCCAAAGGTGAGCAGCTCGTGCTTGCTTGCTTCCTTGTTTGGTTTCTTCTTTGCCATCCATCACAGCTCTTTTGTGAAATGTCGACCACGCTGCAACCAATTTGAAACCAGCACAGTTCCAATGGACTTTGCCAGCTACAACAGCTGTTTCTCTGCTAACTGCACCAAACTGCTGCGATAGGTAGGAATACACAAAAGCAAATAGATCGACAAAGCAAACAAATGGAAAAGCACAAACAAAAAGAGAAAGGAGGACAGCTGCCAAAGCAGAAAAGCAACAAAAGCAAAGAGCAGAAAGACAAAAACCCAAAAAGCAGAAAAACAACAAAAGCAAAAAAGCAGTAGAAGCAGAAAAGCAGCAAAAGCAGAAAAGCAACAAAAGCAGAAAAGAAACAAAAGCAAAAAAGCAGCAGAAGCAGAAGAGCAACAAAAGCAGAAAAGCAGCAAAAGCAGAATCCGAAAAAAAATAGAAAAAAAACAAAAAAAGAAAAACAAAAAACGCCCCTCCATCAATAACTTGGCTTCAACAAAGCCAGCGAATGAATTCAGTTGTATTTTTTTTGTATTGCCTCATAGATGACATAGTTAGAGTCTTAGAACCTCAGAATTGGTGTCAAATACGTGCGTGGCCACTCCTGTGCGAGGGCGCCCTGCGGGATCAGCGTGGCTCTTTCAAGAAGGCATTCCAACTCCGTCTGCATGGTGTGGAAGCTCATGCCTCAGCTGCCGAAGTGGTGGAGTCAAGCTGCCAAAAGCATTCAAAGAGAGGCTTTGGGGATAAAGCACTGTGCTGGGAAGGAAGGGAGCCAGCAGAATCTACGCTTTGCTCTCGAAGCTTGGAAAACTAAGTGACTGTTGTCCAAATCCTGTGCCAGGCGAAAAACATTGGGGCGGTCATGGTAGGAAGGTCACATAGCATTGGGCGGATTGAAAACACATAGCTCAGTACGTACATAGGAATAGCTCAAACTCTGATCAGAGTGTTCTTTTGGACAAAGAAACAAGCCTGCCATTAATCTTTTGAAGAGCTTCCAACTCTCAACAGTCAGCTTTCTCCCTCATCCTGAACCAAGCAAAATATGTGATGCTATGGATGACAAAAAGGATTATGAAACACCTTGGCTAGGGGTAGGGGTACAGTACTTACTGTGTTTTTGTTCTCTTTTGGCAAAGTGAACCCACTCGGTGGTGTACCGCCCTGCCGTCAACAAGGAGACTTCGAGCATATGGTTAGCAAGTCTCTTCGGCCCCCAAGTTCCCACGTCCTGAGTCCTTCGATTCGGCTGATCTTCGGCAAGCCACAAGTGGCGGCCAAGCGGTCATTCACCTCATCCAAGTCGATTTGTCTGAAAGACATTACGGAGTCACGAACCTGGGCCACATGGGAGAGATCTGAAATAGTCCTCTTGCATCAATGATCTTTGTATATACTGATTCTTTTTGTACGGGTTAGGCCATGAGGAGAGCTCTTTCAAGCAGCTTGTAGCAAGGGGTAAGTAGTAAGTAGCTACAAAGCTGGGACGTAGCTGCTGAGATCAGGCTTGCATGAGCTGGGCGCAGGAGCTTCCTTAAAGAACTCGTCGCATGATTCATTTGGGGGTAGTCTAAGACACTGCCTTAGACGCCTTTAGCACTCGGAGGTAGTCTAAGTGCCACAATTCCTGTTTGTTTTTGGTGTGGCTTGGTGCTACCTGCAAAGGGTGGATCGTTGAGGACTTTCATCAACACAGCAAAATTCGGTGTGTTCTGAAGCATTCCAACCAAGGAAAGCCCAGCCTCTCTGCTGCGCTCAGAATCCTCAGGCCCGACCATCTCTGTTTTGTTACCTTGGCGTGAAGAACAGCGGCTGAGTGTTCTGCAAGAGAGACAGCTTGCAGCGTTCTTTTTCTTGGCAAAGCAACCTATGGCCGATTGTCATTGGCAAGGATGAGTTCAGACTGAGTTGAGTAGGAAAGTAGAAAAAAAAACCGCACTCACATACGCGTGATCATGATCCCTGAACTGATGACTTTGCAAAAATTGTCGGAGGGTATGAGAGAGGCAGCATTCCCGAAATCATAACTCAATGCAAGCGGCCAGGGGTCAAGGCAGAAGCCCACTTGCTCTCTAACTCCTCTCAGGATCGGGGAGTGCCCAAAGCTCAATCTGCTACGTGGTGAAGTAATGTTGGATGTTGATTAGTAAGCCGGTCTTCAATAATGCTAAATTTTCCAAAATTATTCCAGACCCCATGTTTGAAAAAGTGGTCCTGAATAATGCTAAATTTTTTGGGGGACCCTAATCTTTTTTATATTGGACACTTACAGTAATAAGGGTTTG